CATGCGGTGCTATGGGAATGACGTCAACCCTGGAGTCCAGTTTACTGGGACAAAGAATAACAGGACAGCCCAATATAAACTTCTGAGAGGGACGGGGAGGTGGAACGGGTCACCCCAGGTAACCTGGTCACCTGATGCACCCCTGCGGAGATGGCTGGCGTCTACTCATCGACCCCCCCCACATGCAGGATCTCCCCAAGCTGGTTCTGTTTCAATCCAACACCATAACAGACTTACAGATATGGACTTGGTCACTGGTACGCATCTCTAAAAGCATCCTCACAGCAAAACTTTCCAGGAAACATGTATAGAAAGATTTAAAAGCGTAGGGTTTGGATAAAACAGCTACTCGAGCAGCTGTACAGCGATAACTGCAAATTTGTTCTTCACGTTTCATGCAGCCCCTGAAGTTTTAAGACCCATAATGCTTCACTTCCCTTTTTTGTGCTTCTACTTGTCTAGAAAGAGGCTACGGAGCTTTGATTCATCACAAGAGCAGCAACAGCTCTGTGAGATACAAGGCAACCTAAAATGCAGGTCTGGGCCTGATGACGTTTCTTAAACATTTCAAATCTGATCATATTTACGCAGAATTTTCTTTCTTAGGTAAGATAATCCTTGTATTGTCTAAATACCTATCAATGCCCCTAGTTCTGTATTTTTGTTCTGAATCACACTATTAACATAGCAACCAGTTAAGCTTAATCTGGAAAAAAAAGTCATGCATCACGATGACCCACAAGAATTCTTCCCATTCTGTAGAGCAGGATTCAGAAAATTATTTTTGAAAAAGGGTGCAATTATTTTTCGGAACATGTTCACTTCACATCTGGTGCGGAAGCATACGGCTGAATTAATTTGCGGTTGCGGTACATCACTCTGAACGCACTTATTGTAAACCCACCAGATGTTATCCTTAAATGTGTTAAGGAGGCTGAACAGGAGACCTAGATCCAGGCTCACAGGAACGTATGTCTGTATGTATATGAAGAGTCTGCATCAATCAACGATTAGCAGAGCAGGATTCCAAAATGCAGCTTTTAACCGGCAACAACTGTGAGCACGAAGCAGCTGTCAATCTATCGACGCAAGACGACAAGCGGAGACCAATTTAGCTGAGTTTAAAGGCTCAAGTCTCTACGTGGTGCCATGGTACTACTGGGTGGATCTTATGGATCTGTCAAATCGGGGAAATGGATTCGAGTGAGCCGTGAAGAACGGCCGGATACATCTGCTATCACTTGAGTAGAAACAGCACGCTCAAGACAGTGATGTACAGTGGGTGGAGAAGGAGAACAGTCTGTCACACACACGAGGAGTTTCGGAAACATTTGGGGAGGTTTTAGCGCACATGGACTAGAAATGCACGCCCATTCTTAAGCCATTTTCACATCTAATTGACGGAACAGCTGGACCCTTGACGTGTTCCTATGTGGCCTTGGTAACTCCAGAACCTGAAAGCTCAGCGGCTAAAATATCTGAACGTGGAAGATGGGCAGCCTGGCGGCTCAGCTGTTCAGCAGGTCATGTTATTGCTTCGGTTACTTGAAGTTTTATGTGCCTTTCCGGCCCCAGCTCTGTGTGAGCCGAGAGAGTAGCATGTTCTCTGCATCATCATACAGGTTCCCCCTGGGGACCAGCAAACCTCCCAGAGTTTAGCTGGAGACACGCCACCTTGCGCTACATGCTTCAAAAGACTCAATCCTGTTTCCGGAACTGCTTACCTAATTCACGATCTGGCAATATATCCAATGCGACAAGCCTAGAACTTATTCTGAGACATGCAGGACACAAAGCAGGGAACACCGTGGACGGAAAGTCCAGATTCCAAGTCCGCTTAACCAATAAATAAATGGAATTTGGAAAATTCACTATTCAAGGTAAAACTAAAAATTAAAAAACAGTTTTTTTTACCAGTAAACCTTACTACTCATCTAAGAAGGTTAGTTGGCTGAGTTGGCTGAAACAAGCCTTAGGAAGGAAAACAAAATGCCTTCTTAAGCTGTGAATTACTTTCACAAGGAGTCTTAATTAGATTAAGCCGTGCTTGTGTGTGTTTATGTGTGTCTGTGTTTACTTAAAGCCACAAACAATTAGGAAATAACTAGTGGGGATACACTTGAAGTCAGGGGCCGCAGGCAGGCACGGACATCCACGGGCACGCCACCGCTGTTTCCAATCAGGCCGCTTTCAGCAGAGGATAAACAGATCGTTCTAGTGCATGACTTTGCCGTTAAAAAGGAAAGGACTTTGGCAAAAAAAATAAAAAAAATGAAAATACATTTCTCTAATTTGGATGTTGTGCGAAGGTTCTTGAAACTCTTGATGGAGGATGGCAAAAGTTTGAAGGAAACACTTTTAGCTTTTCCGTAGTTTGACTCTTTGTTTATTTAGACGCCACATATTTAACAAAAAAAAAAGAATGTAGCAAGGCACAACACCTTCAGCTTGAGATACAGCCTCCCAGCAAGTCCCTGACGTGCCAACATGCCGTTGCTGGGCTGTTCCCCCATTTCAGGGAGATGGGGGGCGGGTCACGTGCCTCCCATCGACCCCACTTCATCTCTACGGCTTCCTGAGATAGACTTCAGATCACAATGGCCTTTAGTGACACGTATGGATATCGAAAACAGCAGGATAATACATAAACTTATTTTTAAATGCTAATTCTTGTATTTACATTGCAAATGCTTTTATCCACGGAGACATACAGTTGCGAAAACACGGCCAGCCGGTCCCTAGAGACACCGAGAAGGGGCTTAAGAGCATCGCGCACGAGCCCAACAGGGAAATCATGTTGCTGAGATTTGAACTGGTGACCTTCTGATCACAAGCACAGCATCCTAACCTGCTGAGCCCCACACCTCCCCCATACAAATAACCCAGTTTAAAAAAATACACATTTAGAGAATTCTGAAGGCCTATACTAAATGTGCCCCACACAAGGGAAATGAGGCTCATTTAGGCGGGCAAATGCATTTATTCAATGTGATATATAGCATCGATTTTTACATCTGACCCGTTTATAAAGCTGAATATTTTACTGAGGTAATTCAGGTTAACCTCCACAATGAAAAAACACAAGTACTGCGCCCTAGTACTTGAACCACCAACCTATTGATTAAAAGTACTTTTCTGTTTCACCCCCATTTACCCACACCCTTATCTGGGAACATCCCCACTTTCTGAGGTAGGCTGAATGTGGGTCACCTCCAGCAGAACTAACTGTGACCTTTACCCTAGGAAGTGAACTCCCGTAACGAAATATTTACTTTGGTCACATGACCAGCACAAGGAGGCCAAAGGCGGCCCATGGAACCCTTGTACTACCGATGCCCTCTGAACGGAAGATTCACTCAGGGTCCAACTCCAGTTGGAGGCCCTGCTAACAATTAAACAGCATGACATAATTCAACCAGAAGAGGGGTGGGATCAGAGAAATAGTACATTTTTAAATTAGAAGTCTGCTTTTGTTACAAAGCGCATACGGCAACCTTTGTGGGTGTTATTTATGATTGCAGTGTGGCTGATTTGGCAATGGGACATTTACAAAATGATGGCTTCCTTTCCTTAATGAACATTAAAAATACCAGAGCCAGAAAATGTGTTTGGTAATAAACTGTCATTCCTGGGACAGAGATGAAAAGCAGCACAGAATCGGTTACACTGTAAAAACCTTCTTTTGTGTGTGATTATCATTTAAAGTTTAAAGTTCCTTGCCGCAAAAGGCTAAAAAAAAAAAACAGGCAGCACATCATTAACACAGTCTGCTGTTCTGTTGACTTTCTGTCTCTATTTTTTATTATTTTAATCAACCAATCAGATTTAAGGTACTTATGGCGGACAGATGCCCAATGGCGTTCCTCTGTTTGCCAATGTGGTGCTTCATTCTTTATTAACTGAGGGAGGTTACGAGAGTGCCAGTCCGTCACTCACGCTGTCAGAGCAACTTTAGCTAATTTGCATTAGCACCTTTGACACGCACATTCACTCCTCTGTAGCCGTCATTAAGTTTCCAATAAATTGATTAACCTATTTGGCACGGTGGGGATGGTTGTAAATATTAAGGATGGTCAGTTCATAACCACCAAGACACTCTTTGGACAGGTTACTGGTTCCTGAGGTTTTTTTTTTTTTTAACTGATTTGAGATTTGGCCACCAGATTTCCTGAAGATCCAGGGTTAGAATATCAGAAGTAGCTCTAAGCTGTTACAAAGCAATAGTGCATATCGCATAAAATAATCACAGCAACTAACCTGAAGTTTCTGACTAGGCACACGGCAATATTTTTTAAATATAAGCAATGCCGCATAACCACATTATGAAATGAGCACCCAAAAGTAACTTTGTTGTATCATTCACACGGCTATTGGGCGGCCTTATTTGGCATCATACAGCCATATAAGCGGTTTGATTCTCAGATGATTTCTAACTTCACTGCTACTACCATCTTCAAGCCTTCATAATCAAAGCAAGTGTTGTCTGTATTAATGTCAAATAAAACAGCCAGTTAGAGATTAATGGCCATTTGACACACTTCTTTCAAGTGTATTTGAAATAGATTATATTTACTCTGGGGTGAGATCTGCTCTGTTAATCTACTCTTAAATTAACAGTGTGAATATTGCCCCAGATTCACCTTGGCCAGTCAAAAAAATGCATAGGCCAATAATAACCATCAACCCACCACCATATCATCTTGTGCAACACTGGCTACACCACAACTCAACTAAGGATGTGCGATTTGGCGATATTAGATTGTGAACGATTGAAAGTCTTCACAATTTGCCTTTATGGAGAAATCGTTAGTATCCTGCTACAGTTGCAGTTCTGTGGCTCATGTGTGCATCTAAAGTCTGTTTCGAGACCAATAAACTGGTAATAGCACACAGTAGGTAGTGCCCTGGATTTCTCCTTCTCTCCCTTTCACGCCCTCATCCCAACATGCAATGTGCCACATGCAACACGTTCCCCATTTGGCACCGTAAAAGGACCTCACCTTGGTCAGAGCAGGGTACCCAGCAGCCACCTCAGCAGGACAGTGCAGACGTTCCTCGTGGGACACCTCCACTGCATGGGCCCATTGGTCCAAGAAGCCGCTGGGAGTGTAGAGGCCACAGTCCCGTACGCTGCTCTCCTGCTCGAAGTCCTCGCACACGCCGTCGCCATCATAGAAGTAGCACAGGCTGGGCTCATCTGTGCAGAAGAAGTTACAGGAGGCCATCCCAACACCTTTATCCAAGATCAACTCAGAAAAGCCATGCCAAGTTCAAAGGTACAACAGCAGAGTCCCGTCTTGGACAGAGCCCCATGTGCCAGGATTTGAAAACTGGAAACCTTTTTTTAAGCCAGGAATGGCTTCGCTGCCTCCTGGCAGCCAGTCAAATCCACAGAAAGGCTGTTACGGGACTTTCGGTGTTATTACAACTGACGACGGTACAGGATATTCATGGGAATCGCTTCATGTATATATATAACCCCCAAGGGAGAGGCTATTTCAATAAAGAGATTAAAAACAAGAGGCTAAACACATCATGTGTGTGGAATGATGAGACGTGATTGGCCAAGACTGCTTTGGATAAGGTAAATAATGTGGTTAAAATATACATACAATGCAGCTCAACTTCTTGTGCCACTGAGGGTTCTATAACTCCAGAGAAATAAACTGAATCCACACTCAACTGGTCATAAATTCAAAACATAGATTTCTGCTGCAAAATACACAACAGATACTTAACAGGTTCTGTTTTTTCTTCTTTCTGTTTACAGTGGCACTGCCATTAGGTATAATTGCATTCGATCCAAATATAAGTATATTTCATAGTCATGTTATTACATAGGATGTCATGAGAGAGACAGAGGAAGGTCCTCCATTTCACAGAAACCCAAACAGCTTCAACAAAAAGAAAAAAACCCAACCATACAATTACTTAATCTATGAAATTCAAGCAACAGCTTATCCAATCAATCACCTTAATAGGGTTCAAGGCAGGGTCTACACTGAACGGGTTGCCAGACCATCACAGTCAACACACATTGATCCACAGATTAAAAGTGAAGCAGAAATCACCATTTCAACCAGACCACTCGTCTTAGGACAGTGGGAAAGACCCAGAGAAGAGCCATGCAAACCTGGGGAGACCATGCTAATTTTACTGGTGCAGAAGGATTTCAGAGGGGCCAGGACGAAAGCTGGCAACCCTGAAAAATGACAACACTACACCAGGGGCGCCGTAAAAGGGGGGTGGGGAGTTAAGACGATTCCCTAAAATATTTGGAACATAACTTGATTGGTCTGGACTGGGGGGTCCAGCACGACATGTTTTTATGGGGCCCAAAATCTCTAGCAAGCCTCTGCCCTACACACATAACAGGCTAGCACCCCCCCCCCTCCCCTGAGCAGTGCTACGTTACATAAAGTTTAATAAAGAGATCAGTGAACGAGCCTTTGGAACAGACCAGCAGGAACCTGATGAACTTCGCCTGATCTGCTCGGATTATGTAAAAAAAAAAAATAATAATAGGATTTTCAGATATATCACACTCTCCAAGTGAATCTCCATGTCAGGGTGGTGATGAGGTGGTAGAAGTGGGGCGTGGCAGGGTAGAGAGTGACATGTGACATGTGCCCCCCCCCCACCCCAAAAAAGGACAATTAGAGCATGCATGGCTCCTTTCACAATCTCTGTTAATGAAATGACTCTCCTCATTCCCTGAGCCTGTCCAACAGACTGTCAGACACACAGCAGACAGTGGCTGTGTTCGTTAGAGTGTCTGGCTTCCCGTCACAATGATGACGGGGAGAGAAAGAGTGAGAGAGAAAGAGGGAGAGAGAGAGACACACACACACACACACACACACACACTCACAGAAACATTTGACACATGCCCGATTTCCGCCGGCTCCGCCGTCCATGGAAAAGGCTGCCGCTGGAATCGCTGTGCATTTCCTAAACCGACGACGGCCTGAGGATGTGCCAATGTGGGGGTGCCTTTCAGGAGCGCACATAAAACCTGCACCACACAAGGCTGCTTTTGTCCCCCCAACCCGTTTTTCTTGGGTGAAAAGAAAGTGGTTAAAAAATACATTTATCTTTTGTGAAAAAGAAAAGGTGTGGATGGTGCCAAGAAAACTATATAAATTACTACTTTTCGAGTTTTTCCTCCTTGGAATTTTCTCGATTTTTCCTCCCCCCATTAAAATGCGGTTCTTTTGATCAGCATGTGTCTGACACTAGCCAGCGCACTAAAAACATCATTTACTAGTCCTAGACAACCTAGCAGAAGCCTTTGTCTACTAACACGTACTAAAACATCACGCCTACGCTTTCAGTTCTGTAAAGACATCAGATTTCCAAAAGATTATCCGGCAAGACAGACTGCTGGTTTTCCAAGGCGGTCGAGGACCTACCGACGCAGTTGAAAAACGGCTCCTTCTTGCACCGACTAGAACATCCGTCCCCATTCACAGGATTCCTGTCGTCGCACTCCTCCCCGAGGAACCTGGAACACCAGAGATCTGGTTGTAGTCTGAGGAGGAATCTACACGCTGCCGGCATTGTACGTGCCAAAGCCGCATCGCTCAACCAGCTCAACCTCCTTTTTGTTGTGCATATGCACAATGACAATAAAGTTGACTTTGACTCTGGCCTATCTCTCCATGGGATGTTTGACAGCTAGCTGTATTTATGATGGTGATGATGGTGAAGATGATGATAAGGGTGATGACCTCTGACATGTACCTACTCACCTCTGAATGACTCCATCTCCACAGTAAGGCGCTCCGAGTTCATGAGTCAGTTCAGGGGAAGGCACACTCTCCATCTCTCTAGAGAAGGTCAACACTCTGTACGTATAAACTGTCCCGGCTTTCACATCCCTAGGGAAGCAACACACACAGATAGGGCTTCTTAGTCTAACAGTACATAATATGCACCATGCAGTACAATTCATCAAGCAACTGATTTCTATCAATCGAGTGCTATTCTCACCAGCAGGAGCTTCACAATGATTAGTAACTCACTGACCCATTATCCTCCGAAATTCTGCCCTCATTCTCTCTTACACTCTACCCCCATTATCCTTGCTCATTTCCCCTTTCTGGTCACTGTTTTTTTTCCCTGCCTGAATACAGATATGTTCACACCATTTCCCCCTCAACCCCCAACCTCCCTGGCCCCCACAGTAGGCTAAGGACAACTGTTGGTTGGTGGATCCCTCTGCACACCGCATTCCTGGAACCCCCTTTCACGCTGAAAGATGATTACGAGGCTCGCACCGGCCATATAACCGTCTCCACCGTATCGGATCCCTCTGTTTGGCTTTTCTTGCATTCTTTATTGCTCTCGCTTCCAAGCTCAAGTGTGTAAACCAATACCTGGGGTGCTGGCCCAAAGCTTTGGACCAGAGGGGACTGAGACAAACATGAAACAAGGAAAGCAACCCAGTCACTTTGCTGGGCTGCACGCAACCCAGAGAGGGGTTGGGCGGGGGGGGGGGGGGGGGGGGGATCACTAGAGTATAGGGGCAAGCGCCAAGTCCACAACCACAGCTCTCAATGGCAAACCACGACCCCCAAAGAACGAGGCCCAGAGATTCATCAGATCACATCTGGAGTGGATTACAGATACAGTCAATCTAAGCCATATGTTGTTCAGTCATTAAAAAAAGACTGCATTTATTGTCACCCATCACAAAATGACTGGACGTCAAATGTCTGTCGACAGAGACGCCCTTAACAGCTGGACAGGAAATGGCGGGCAGACGGATGACAACACATCCAGAAATTGGCCTTTTGACCCCATCTGTTGAAGAAAACCATCGGCATCATCTGACGCCATGACAATGCCATCTCGCAAGTTATGTGTTACATGTGCGTTACATGTGCGTCACATGCATTCATGTGGCCTTCAAATGCCTGAGCCGGCTTCCGGATGCTGGATGCGATTTGACAGAAACAGGTCACTTTTATAGCATGGACATGAAGTCACAAGCAGGGAGTCTGCAGAAAACAGACCACGGCCCATTCATACGGGAATGACACTAGCTGTTTTTCCCTCATGCAAAAAGCTTTCAGACTTAATTTCAAACAAATATCCTGCCGATTACAAGAAAATCAGCCTGTTGCCAAATCACACAGGGCCAATTTATTATGCTAAGATGAGTCCAGATTTTGTTGTTTGGCCCCAGTCAAAGCGTTGTCAACCAAAAAAGACTTTCAAAATGCTGGGGATGACAATGTGCTATCTATAAATCTACTTCAAAGTGATCAACACGATTGGTCATGCAGCTTTGTGTAAAGTAGCATAACTCCCTATAAATCCTGGATTTCCAGGCAGAATCCATATAACAAAGACTTCCAATGATTCTACACCAAATATCCAGAGAGGAGAGGAGACACGTTGGACTTTTGACAACAGAGGTCTTTTTTCACCCTAACCAGTCTGTGAGAAGATGGGGAAAAGGAGTGACTGAATACCTCACAGAGTCAGCTCATCCGGAAAGGTAATGAACTTCAAAGGGATATATCTACAGTTCAGCACATTTAAGCGTTTAAAGCAGTGTTTTCCAATCTGGTCCTCGAGGGAGCAAAAACGTGGACTGTCTGTGGGTCCCCGGGGACCAGATTGGGAAACACTTTAAAGAACGGTATGCTTTATTCTGGACAATTTATTTGTACACATACTTTTAAGATGCTGGCTCCTATTAAACCTTGTTTGATTTCTGTTCCACGCAACACAAGCACTCTATAATGTATTAGGGCATCTCCATACTTTAAGCGTTGACTCATATTTATCATATTATAACTACATCTTTGCAACTTTAATTGACTGTCTGAGCAGACTATGACGGCCCACTAAAATCACCCAACATCAAGTTTAGTTTAGAGAGTCTTATCCATACAGGACAGCGTGGAGTCCAACATCAAAAGACCTTTTGCAGAAACTTGGGATTCACTCCACAAGAAGAAATACAGACTGACAGGTATAAATTTGTTCCAAATCCAGACTGATGTATTTTTGACCCCCGAACTCAGAACAAATCTCGCCTCACCACAGCAGTCTCCTCCTGGTGCTTATATTCACGCCCCTCTTCCTCAACTCTTCCATTTGACTTCTGGAGATGGAATGACAGTTTCCTGGCATTGATCCCAAAGCAAAAAGAAACAGCGGAGGCCCGTTTTTTGTTTTTTTTTTACTACCCTCACTAATCCACCCGTACGAGACGCAAGTCACACCAGCACAGAGGTTCGCTGCCCATACAGAACAGCTCAGAGGATCTACAGGTGCTGCCTGCAAAGCCTTGCCAACGAAAAACCTCAGGCATGCCCGCCGCCTTGCTGTAGGCCGAGTGACGTCAAACGCACGCAAGCATGCACACCCCATGCCGCGGCCCTTAAAACACACAGTATAGCCCCTTTGTTACGCTCCTCTTGCCCTATGATGGTGAGAAACTGGTCCCTTTCTCATGTCACGGTGGCGTCTAGTGGCCATGTCCAGTGGAAAACCTGAGTCATCAGTTGTTAGTGTGGAGGATTTCATGGAGGGGGGTCAGCCAGTTTTTCATCCTCTGAGGACTCATTCCAAGAAGTTCCCAGTGGCAAACTGCATGGGAATTGGGGCTCAGTTTCTCCTCGCATCATGACTAATTTCTGCTATATAAGGTCTTCATATGGAATGCTATGGAAGATAAACACCACTCCGGTAACACTTCTGACCTGGGCATGCAGAGTAAACATCCACCCATGCATCCAGCTTCCGCTCACTTACGCTGGTCAGGGATGTGGGGTGCAGGGTAAACGCCTAGACTGTTGTGTTAAGCTTCTCCAGTAGCAAAAACATTGGGACAAAAAAAAAAAAAAAGATTTCTGCTTAACGAATGGAATTTTCAAAGTAAACAGATAAAAGGATGTATGGAAAAAAGCAGGTGCCTTTTTCTGACAGGCATATACTAAGCCGAGAGGAGAAATTCAATTCTTGAATCAGTTTACATTAAGAAGCCAATTAGCCTGCTTAACTTAACCTGCTAACCTCTCCTGATACGGTCTCGTTTAGATGAATATACATTAATTTTATAGACTCACCAGCTGGAAGCTGCAGAGCATAAACAAAACAAGCTGCACAATCAAACCATTTCCTCGTCTAGGTAATTTTTTTAATCAACGCTATAAAACCATAGAAAAAAATGAACAATTAAAAACACGATAACAGCAAACAGAAGAAGGGGCTTGTCTGAGAAGCGGCTCGAGCTTTCAGGGGGTTCAAGCGAGGCCAGCCCCCCCCCCCGTCAGCGGAGTTACAAGGTGCTCCTGGTAATGGAAAGGAAGCAGTAACGTTCAGTAAGTGACAAAACAAACAAGTTAAATCACTCGGCGGGCGTAAACGACACGGGCAGCGCTTACGCGTTCGCCCGGCGAGCTTTCAGGGGGTTCAAGCGAGGCCACCCCCCCTCCCCGTCAGCGGAGTTACAAGGTGCTCCTGGTAATGGAAAGGAAGCAGTAACGTTCAGTAAGTGACAAAACAAACAAGTTAAATCACTCGGCGGGCGTAAACGACACGGGCAGCGCTTACGCGTTCGCCCGGCGCGGTTTGCCCAGGCGTGCCGCTGCGAGAAACAAAGCCTTCAGTCACACGGCGAGAAAATATTACAGCCAGGACTGTTCCTTTTTTTCACACTCCACGGAGAGACAGTTATAATGGGATACCACAGAAAGGCCAAACTGCCGATCCAGCCAGGAATATACCTTTAAACGATCAGACATCCAGCGTGTGACTTCCAAAGAAACCGTACTCCTACATTAACTGCGATATTAGGTAACGCAGCATATTTGCAGCGTGCGTTTATGATTCATGGCACTGTCCTCACCACGTCGGCGCGATGCAGGTGACCGACATTATTTCACGTATCGTTATTTCAGACAGTGACTCGTAAAACAGCTGGAAGGCCCTTCAAAGAAGTATTAAAAAGCACCACTGCCAAAACGGCTGCATCTCCCCCCCCCATCATACAGCCCGGGGATATGATCTCTATTATCTAAAGTGGGAGAAATTAAGGCTTTGCGTTTTTTTTTCTCCCCCCAGCAGGTCGGCATCTTGCCGGAGGCTGCGGCAAGGTATGTCACTGCGGTTTTTCACCGGAGCCGCCGTCTCACACAAGGGATCGACCATAGCTCCCCCCCTCACTCCCCCCCCCGCCAAGATAAACAGCCATCTCAGGCACTCATTTTTGGAGGGAAAATAAAAGCATTCGAAGGAATGAAAGAAAAGAATGAAAACAAAACATAAATCTCCCCACAAAACATTGTCAGAAAAAGACTATACAGAGACGGCACTTATAAAAACAATATAGAAGGCCAGATTAGAGACGATAGTGTATTTTAACCAATAGTTATTTAATGATTTATTCAATTTTAACGACTTTTTCAGAGAACATTTACAATGTCAGTCTGAAACAGGCTTTATATATAAATGGGGCAGGACAGTGTATTCTGCAGCAGCCCAATCAGGTTGACTCCGGACTCTAACAGGAAGCTAGAACATGATGTCATCTGTTAATCTGGAGATCTGGGATATCAGATCCAAATGTTGGAATCAAAAGCCTCGAGCAACAGAGCGTTTCAGGGCAAGACTTGGGGTGCCTCCATGAGCCAGGAATGGCGGTCAATAAATCAATGGGCAGAGAACTAGTTTCATAGGGTATCAAGGCTATCATATCTGTGATTTATCGAGGGCTCGCAGGAAAAGGATGGAGAATAAAAGGACCAGGGTCAGGTATTCTGCAGTGTCAGAGGATGGCTCTGACTGCCTCAGGCTGATCGACCTGCCTAAACACAATAGAAAAAGACCAAGGGGACAAACTCCCAGAATCGCTTAGATCTAC